GGACTAGATGACCTTTAAAGGTCCCTTCCAACCCAAACTATTCTATGATTCTAAATATCAATTGAGACAGATCACAATGAAGTAAATGCATTAGAAGGGGAAAACAAATGAAATCTCCATTGTTACGTAAGTACTCCTTAACTCTTATGATGCAATAGATGCCTGCCTTAAAATAGCAATCAGCTGGTATTTCCAGTGAGTTTCTGAGTATTAGATCAAAATAAGATCAAATTCCCACAAAACTGCATTTGACAGAATTTTAAATTTGAACTTACTCATTAGTTGGAGCAGAAAGCTTTGATTTTGTTAACTCTTCACCTAAGCAAAAGACACAGTATTAACACCAAAGCTGTGACAGTCTAAAATAAAAATTTCAGCTTCATTATAAAAATATAGTAAATATTAACAGTTGCAGTTCAGGACTAATTATGAATTATTAAAATGGAAAAGAGAAAATGCATTATTTCTGATAATATAAATTCAGATACTCCTGAAATACCTTCTAATAGGAAAGGACTACATAGAGCAATGCATTTCGGGAGAAAGTGTTGTTCACTTGAAATTTCCTCCTTAAATTATGTTTACATCAATATTATTCTTCAGCAAATCTGGCTTGGTTTCCCACTGGAAAAAAACCTAGAGGATAGAGATTAATGCTCTGTCCTCTATCTCCATGGCCACCTTTTATGTGTTTGACTGTAAAACAGAAAGAGTTTTGCTGGTTTGTGGATCATACTAAACTTGAGTGGGTGGAAGGGTTTTAAGAACTTGCACAGGAGTCTTTTCCATGGGGTCCCCCCTTTGGCTCTTAGATGTGTTCCTCATTACTGTCACAGACAGCCTTATCTGTTTCCCAGCATAGGGAACAGCCGAGTATATAGGCAAAGAAGAGGTATCTAGAACTGACACAAGAAATATTTTTTTCTATTTAAAATACAGATACTTAAGAAGTTTATTTCTTCAACAATTAAAAAAAAATCTACTTTCATGCTATGTTAAACAACTAACATGAATAGACTAAAAGTTAAAGATTCACACTTACTGGATGAATTCCGATTCATTTGTGCCTGAAACAGGAAAAAAAAAAAAGGAATAAGTGCTTTTACCAACTGTTGAATAAAATGCTTAATAGTCCCAGGGTTCTTATTTCCACTCAACTTTCTATGCGGTACTTTGCTTTCAGTGATAGACAAAACATTCTGAGCTTGCAGAAGACCAGAACATGAGCCAGGACAGAGCAACCAGTGCACACCTGCCACACGAGTAAGAAAAGGCAGGAGCGAGTAAGAAAAGGCAGGAGCGAGTAAGAAAAGGCAGGAGCGAGTAAGAAAAGGCAGGAGCGAGTAAGAAAAGGCAGGAGCGAGTAAGAAAAGGCAGGAGCGAGTAAGAAAAGGCAGGAGCGAGTAAGAAAAGGCAGGAGCGAGTAAGAAAAGGCAGGAGCGAGTAAGAAAAGGCAGGAGCGAGTAAGAAAAGGCAGGAGCGAGTAAGAAAAGGCAGGAGCGAGTAAGAAAAGGCAGGAGCGAACACTGTAGAGCTGACAAAGGGAGCAGTATTACTAAATGCCTTTACAGGCTGGGGCAGTAAAATTAAACAGCTTATATATCACATGGTATATATGAAAAGAAACATTCCTAATTCCCAATAACTCCCCTCACATACTACACTTACTTGGTTTTAATCTAAAAATTTGAATAAAAAGCCATTCTGTACTTACAGGACTGTGTCTCTGCTTTCAAATGGGGGTGGGGGGGAGGAAGAGAACAATCATCATTATTATTTTAATATGTTATGCACAATATTTTCTATAAAATCAGAGCCATTCTTATTCTGATCTGAATGTTGTCCTAGCATACTTTAATACTATTTATTTGTAATACCATCTCATGGCATAAAGGATAATTTTGTGGATTGGCAGAATACATCAATAAAGCTGCACTGTAAATGTTACATGTATCCACGTTATATGACCTGTTTTAAAGGTTTGTATATTATTGAATGCTAATTAGTAAACTATGTTAAAAGCCATGCTCAGCTAACTCCACAATGTATTCAAATGTCTTGTGGTGGCAACAGCAGAAAGACAAGGACTGAACATTCTCAAGACTCAAAGAAAAGTTACAATATGTGAAGGGAGAATTACTTAATGTTACACTGCAATAAAGTGTACCAAAGATGACCTAGTGCACAAGAAAAAAAAAAGAATCCTTGAGCTTGAACCTAGAATAAATTCTGAACAGTAAAATATATGTTTACACTACAGATTCTTTACCACTTTTCTCTTCTATGCATTAAAAATACAAGGAACAAAATAACTTACAGATATTGCTGGAGAAAGAGTGATGTTCCCTATAGATACTTTTAATTCATCCAAGGAAGGCATGGTATACTGAGAGCTATTATTTGGCTGGACAGGTTTTATTTCTACATGGAACCTCCTGGGTTCATCATCTTCAGAGTCAGAATCACTGGACGAATAGAAATGGTTCTCTTTGGTATGTTTTTCTCAGTTAAGGTGGAAATACTTCAAATTCACCTGCTTAATCCATTCATAGTTATGCTCTACAAAATGCTCATATTAAGTGAACACCACAGATAAACAATGCTGCCTAACCTCTTTGTGCGTTTATACAGACACTTCAAATATATCCATTGTCCAAAATTCACAACTGGGGAGTTAAAATTTAGTTTTTATATTCCATTCATCTTCATAACAGTATTCTGTTCGGAAGGGCATTATGTCATATAACATACGTATAACAACTGCAATATCTGTGGTATAACTGAACTGTGTATTTGAAGGCATCAGGATAAATTAAAGATTCTACAGTAGCAACACTTCTGCATGTTAAATTTATGACTTGTAAGACTCAACCATGGATTCTAATACATGTATGAAAAATGTAGAAATCCTTTTAAACCAAGTGAAGGAAAGCCCTAGCCTTTTTAATTAGCAGTGAAATGTCCATGGTACCTGTACCAAGCATTAGCAGTAGAGGAAGCAGCAGCAGCGGCAGCCGCTATTACTTGCCCCTTTTGTAGGGTGGCACTGAAAATTTTGCAAGAAAGGCCAGTTATACAGAAGGCTGCCCAGCAAAGTGAACAATGTCAGCTGCTTAATGCACCGTCATCCTTGGCAAAAAAAGAACCACAACAACTCAGCCCTCAAAATAAGCAAAATAAACAGATGAATTTCACCTTCATTCTTTATAAGCACAGGAGCTGCACTGAACAAAAGCTCTGAAAGGCCCATGCTAAGTCTTAAAAGATGCATTTGTTTTGACAAGAAAGAATTCGGAAATTTTCCTCCACTTAAATACAAAAGTTTCATACCACCTAGGAGAAGCATACATATTCTATACCTTGCTTCTGTTATTTTCACTTGGAAATGTGCCACCCATTTGAATTACATCTTTTCAAACTCTTCCCTGACAAAGATTAAAATCTGAACCCTAAAGACATTCCAAATCCATTTCAACTGCAAGAATCCCCGAGTCGTGGTGAGGAAAAAGTCACCATGTCTTCATCTTACAGCCTATCTGTCCCCCGAAACGGATCATATCTAGAAAAGAAAGTTTCAAAGACAAGTTATTTTTCATTTCACCAAAAGATCTCGCCTTGAAAGTTATCACCGAGTTTTGAGATTCATTTCCTATGAATCAGGCAGCTCTTGTAGTGTTTTTCCAACATTTAAGACTGGACTTATTAAGACTGACTGACATTATGGTAAAATAATGTCCTCCAACAAATGACCTCAAGAGTTCCCCTCAACAGAATAAATACCCACTCTTGGAGGCTAAGGGAGGAAAAGAGGAAGGGAACTGATGAATTCCTGAATCTGGTCAAGATTTTCAGAAGCTGAAGTACTACCTGGCTGACAGGGATTGTAAATCACAGAGATTTTTCACTGAATGTATGGCCTTCCCTATTGTTTCACAACGAAAAGGATAATGTAGAAAAGGCTGCTCAGATGAATCATTTACAAAGCATGAATGTTTTTCGCTTCTCTCTCCCTTTCATAAATATATGCAAATAATGAAACAATGCCCCTCTCAGAACTGGATAAAAGTCTTTCACTTTTATATCAATTTTGTAAATAGGAGCTAACATGAAATGCTTTTATCGGTACAGGAATTTTCACTGGGGGCAGAGGCATATTCTGCAAAGTTCATGAAAACAGAGAAGCTATGATGATGGACTGGCCCACTTTAAGGTGCTGTTAACTGCTTAAAAGTTTTCACAATTTAAGGTAATTGCAAAGCGTAAGTTTACCTTTTGTCTGCAGTACCCAGAGAATTCAGTGAAAACATTTCCAAAAATGAGCTATCTTGCTAACATATTAGGCTTGCTTAGATCCACAGCAATTATTGCCAGCTCTTAAGTAAAGCTTCCCTCTGTTTCTGATGGGAGGAAAAAAGAGGACAAGAATTTTTTCCTTCAAAGGAAGAGCAGAGAAAAATCACGAGCCTCCATAAAAAATGACTCACAACAAAAATCTATTCTGCATAGCAAAGCTATTATTAAAAAGACAATAAAAGCTAGAAGCACCAATTAGAAACAGCATGTGGTGTAATAAGTTCATTAAGTAACAGAAATTCTATTTCTAGACTGCTGGAGCTCCCGATCCTTTTAATGGTGTTATAAAAAAGTGGGAGGGTGCAGGTATAGAACAGATAACCACTCTGTATGCTTAAAAAAGTTTACTAACTTTACTTTACAAACTCTGAGAGCTTTTCAAGGAGAAAGATTTGCATGGTCACCTTAAAGCTTTTGTTCAGTTTTTTGTGTTTTATGTTGGTTTTTTTCCTGTCAGAGAAAACCCATCCTCTTAAAGTTCCCAAGACATCTGATCTAATCTTTAACATTTGCACACACACAAAATGTAAGATAGACAAAATTTTGTACATTTTGCAAAAGCTATGAACATAAGAATACAAGGTTGCAACATAAGCATGAATGTCATTCATCTTCCTTTACTTTAATCAGTACTTCCACTCTCCAAAGAATTGTAATAACATCAAGTAACTTGGCACAATAATAGTAAAAAGGATATCCTGTGTTGCTTCTGGTTTAATGCTGTATCCTTCATCATCTACATCAGGAATGTTCTAAAAACAACAACAAAAATTACGATATTGACAAATAACTAAAAAACCATGTTGTTCTTACATCAGACTGAATTTTATATCATTGACAAATTAAAAATTGATTATGACAGCTCATGAAAGTGATTGTTATTCACCATTAATTATTACAGTTATCTCAAGTTATGATCTGTAGTTCAGAACTAGTGTGACAAGATACCTCAGGAACAGAACACAACAAAACAACCTCCAAATTTCCTATGAAAACTGGCAAGTTTGGATGCATCTGCTTTCACTGGTACTCTATCAAAAAGGTCAGAAACCAACAGAAGCATTTTAGCTTTACTATTGAGTGTTAAATAAGCCTACAATTCTCTTGGTCCCAAATATTTTCTCAATTTCTACTTCTAATTCTCTCAGCTAAGTCACCAGAGGCTCCGATGGTGCAGGAGCAAAACCTTTCCTAGTCAATGCTTTAATATGTGAGTAAACACATTCCAGGTTGCAACTTCCTCTCCCCCCTTGAAAAGGCAGCAAGCCTGCACCGTTGCTTTAGCGAAGAATATCCACATTAATTAAAAGGCATGGATGAAACAAATACAAGTGCTCAAAATCGGGTTCCAAAGTTTTCCTTTACACATCTCCAGCACCACCCTGGATTTTCAAAGCTAGTAAGCATCTGGGAACTTCAGACTAGTTTCGTTTTTCAGTTCTTGCAGGCAATTAAATATAAATTGAAGAGAATTATGTTAAAATCATTTAGAACACTTAGCTAAGCACTTAGTTTCATAAAAAAAGTTTTGGGACAGAAACAAATCTCTAATATAATAATCTAAATTTTAAAAATGTGCAAAAACCCACACTCGTTTATATTATATAAAAAGGGGTAAACTTGGATACACAGATACTTTCCCTATTCAGAACAGAAAAGCCCACTCATGACTTTGTATGCATAGTTAGTTGATGTGAACTGCTCAGACACCTCAGTAAGTTTATTACAAAAAACCACAACCCAAATGCCTTCAAAACGTAGTGATTTCACCAGTTATAGATTTCTTATAAAAATGACAAGATTCATATAAAAAAGTGATTTATTCTAATGTACCAATCAGTTTATTCTACCAGAAAGTAGGTACCGGGAGGCAGTTTGACTAATAGAGATATATACAGTATGGCCAAAATATACCTTGCTGTTATAAGTCACAAGATATAACAAAATGACTTACAGTGGAGACTTCAAGTGGACTAGCAAGGAACCACTTGACTTCACCTAAAATTTGAAGCCAAATTTAAAGAGATATTCACTTTGAATAGCTTTTGAATTACAGAGGAAGATGAACATAAAAAGGTAGTTGCCCCTCTATTCCTTTTACAGATATCACAAATGGGATGACTGATATTTTACTAAGAAAGATTCTCCACTGTACAGCTTTCTAAGTCTAGCACTTCTAAATTAAATGGAATTAATTTAAACATAGATCAAACTTTCTGCTAAAAAGAGTAAGAAATATAATCCTGTATAGGAGATGTAATACTGTACCAAATTAAAAAGCACATCAAACTAAGGCCAAAATATAATCTTTAAGCTCAAACCTTAAAATATGGAACATATAGATGCAATTTCTTGAAATACTTGTAACATCTGGACTTCACTGCTATTTGATTTAAAAAAAAAGGGGGGGAAGAAAAAGAACTGAACAAAAAAAAGTAATAAGAGTAGGATCACACGGTCCAGTACCTTAGCTCTACTTGCTCAAATCAGGGTTCTTAGCTACGCTTGACCTCAGGCTGACCTTGTTTATATACCAAAAAACACTAATGAAACTTGACATCAAAGTAAACAGAACAAAAACATATAGCGAGAGGGTAGGTACATTTTCCTACAATACTACAACTTCTGAATTCTGAAATTATTTTAGTTGTCATACTAGGCAATTTTCAATAGATCAGGATCATTCATGGTTAAGATGAATTGAAAACCATCAAAAATCTTTAAATATACAACATTTAGTTTTTCTTCCAGCTGGGCCATATATGTAAAGGATATTATTACTGGGCACACACAACATGCACAAAATAGCTGGCAAATCTCACTATTTTGATATAAAATTGTGAAGGAACTTAGCTTTCAGAAGTTATTTTCATTGCATTATTTTTAATTTACTGACTAATCTCTAGGATAAAGTAAATCCTTAGAAAGCAGTAAGATCTTAAAGTTCTTAGTGTATTAAATTTCTGTCTTAATTTTTTTCACGTTAATTATTTCTGATCTTACAAAGATATTTGAATCATCTATTCCTCAGCAATGGCACTTTACCATGTAGTCTGTATTCATAACTTCAGACAAAAAGTCAAAGTTAAGACGTACATAACAGAGATGGATACTTTACAGCTTGAGTTCTGAACACAGGAACTGAAAAATTCCTTGCTTCTTTTTCAGCAGACCTACATTACCACTTTTTTGTAACACCGTGCAGAAAACTTAATTTGTACTTTCCCCCCCCTATTTCTAAAATTTAAATACATATAATTTAAAACATCTGGCTTTACACAGTGTATACAGTCAGAAATCATCCACTTTGACAAAGCTGGAAATACAATGATTCAGATTGATCTTGTACCAATTTATGATCATTCTTAAAACACCTTCTACTTTCATCAATGAGGTACTGAATTTATATTTTTGTGTAAACCAATAGAAGAAAAGGGTGGAAGAGATACTAAATGTATCTTTGCATTGACAAAGACAAATTGTGTCACATACAAGCAAAATGGTACCTCAAAATCTTACAAGTTAAGTAGTAATTTCAAAATATTTTCAATATTTTGAACAGCTGAACGGTTCTGCTTTCTGAAACATCAGAATTTTATTTACTAATCTAAATTTTGTAACAGTGGTAGAGGACACAGCATTTTGAGAGATATACATATTCATGAATCTGATGTTAATGAAGGCATTTACATTTACTTGACTGATTCTTACTCCGTTCTCAACACTCCTACAGTTATAGAACTGTATGTTATGTCATGGATAACAGTGCATCTTTTAAGTATCAGGCACAGACTACAGACAAGACCTGATTTGCCTACCATGCTTATCAGAGGGAAAAACCACAACCTTCATGTAAACGTGTTATTTTTGAACTTCAACACAGAGGAAAAAGATCTTTGCAAAATTTGGGTTTCTGTAAGAAGTAGTTATTAATATGGTGGGGATGAAGGTCTGGTCTAGCCCCCCTACCCAAACACGTTATTTGTAGTCTTTGCAGTAAAAAAAAGGCTCAATATGGATGTGAATTGAACTCTGCAGAAGTAACTGGAAAGGTGGACTTCCTTGGAAGAAAGTTTCACATTCTCAGAGGTTTTGTTAAGCAATTAAACATATAGCTATAAAAACCAGAGAGTTTTCCCTGTGTTTGCAGATGTAATACAAGACATTACTAATTAAGGTACTATATAGTTTTAAATATACATTAAAAATTTAGGGCTTAAAACTCCATCTTTGCATTAGTATGTTCTACGACTTTCTGGGGTGAATAATTTTTTAAAGAAATAAAACATAAGGACATAATAAATAACAAAGTAAAACTGCCTATACAAAAAGCATGAGCACTAAGCATTCTATTGCCAAAACTTATTTTTTGAGTTTTGGTGAATACTTTGTCTCAGTTTCCTTGCTCTGTTCCATCTGTCATCCAGAAGCAAATGGTAGACGCCACACCATTACCATGTCACTAGCTCCTCTGGGCTACATGCAAAGGACAAGAGAGGAACATGTGGAGCATGTTGCAGTCTAGCTACTTCATTTGGCCCTTCCTCAGCAACGTTAGCACTGCTTACAGGTCAGTCATCGATCAAGAAGCAAAAAGAACCTTCATTACATTTCAGCTTGATTTCTATTTTCTCTTCTCCTGGGATATCTACAGTGGTTATGAGAGTTCCTTATCAAGTTTTCCTCAGGGTATGCTTCAAGATACAGCACAGCTGAACAGCTCACTGTTTCTTTTTCTGCCAGATGAACTTTCTACCATTTTACTGAAATGGACTGACTCCTGCAATCCAAATGAGGACCGCAGCAAAGTCAAAGTAAGCAGTTGAAGCTCATAGCCTGGAACAAGAGAAAAGAGAGCCTCTCCACTTTTGACGTATTTGAGATGTAAATTTGACTCAGGTATATCCTTAGGTTAAGACACAGTTATTACATATTATGAGCCTCGTCTCCTCTAGGATGCCTATTAACCCAAAAGACAATGGAAGAAGAGAGTAGCCAGTCAGTTTCTTCCATTGCCAGAGATGCAGAAAGAAAGAAAAACAGGGTATTCAAAGTGCCCCCGTCTTGTGCTGTGACTAAAAAGCCTTGTACCCTGTATCAATGGCAGCTATTCAAAATATGCCAGAACTAAACATTACAAAATGCAAATAAAGAAAAACATTTGAATTTCACTAAATATAAGGTTACATTTCTGTTCCACTAATTAGAGCCTGATGGTTCCAAATTCAATCTATACAACGCTAATTATGCTACACTCATATGTAAAGAGGTTAATGAAAAGTTTTGGATGCCTCGATATATTTGTTTGCATTCCAGTTTCCTATGAAAAAAAGTTTCAGCATTATGTTCTGTGCATCTGTGGCTCCCTTCTTAATTACTTTTGAACTTACTGGACAATTTCAAATGGATTTGACAGACAGAACAGAGGACTCAAAGATAATTACGTTACTACAGTCTTCATGAAAATAGGCAGTCAAGTAGAAGACAGAGATCTGCAAGTATCCCAACCAAAGGAAGGGTTGCAATCCAAATCCAGATCTTACTGGACACAAGTGGAACCTTGTAAATGCTTCCTCAAAAGAAAAGTTTCTACTAGAGCTCATACCTTCCTATAGACCATCCCTAGAGACATGGCAAACCCATGGGAAACAAGACAATTAGTTCTGCTTTTAGAAAAACTTTATAGGTAATAAATACATACAGAGACAGACTTCAGTTGCTATCTCTTTCTAGTGTACACACAGTTAACTTCCTACTTTTCTTAATTATCAAGGCTTAGCCTAATGGCAGTTACATGTGTAGACTGACGTATAACAACACAGGAATTTTAAATCTCATGACATCTATATTCAAACAGAGGCTGCTTACTGAAGTGGTCAACCTTTTTAACAAATACCAGTTCTCAATTCACAGCTGCCTTCCTACTCATGAGCACATAAAAACCTCTTATAGCAGTTACAAAAAATTATTGATAGGAATTAACAATTTATTCAAATGCACCACATTTTCCAATATATATAATCTGGCAGTTACAAAAAGGATGAGCATAAGCAGATGGCTTGCCACAGATAAATTTCAGAGCTTCCATTTTGGTACAAAAGACATTTTTTAGGACCATCTCACTGTTTTGTTTTCTGGAAACAGAGAATACAAGTTCGAACACACTGCATTATACGTTTCGGACTAGAGAGAAGGCCCTAATGGTATTGACTAGACAACTGTATGTTCAAAGATCCACAATACCACATAGAACTGGTAGATGAAGTATTGAAGTCAGTTCTTACTGGACCCTTAACTTCTAAAATTTCAATATATTTACCTCAGTGCTTATAGTTATAAATAATTATAGAGTGATTATCTCTTACATTCTTTTCACACAATTAAAATTCTTGACAAATAAACAAAAGCCACCTTTTAAAAAAAGATCATGTTAATAATACAAAAGCCAGACAGATTTTCTGTGAGTGACTAAAGCTGACCAAAATCATAATTGGGACACCTCAAATAAGCTGAATTTTCTGAGCTTGGTCCTCAGTATTTTCTAGCAATCAAAACACAAATGATAATTGCTTCAAGTCATATTTTTTTTTTTGCAATAATACTTTTCCAAGTTCAATTTCTTGAAATGTGTAATTTATTGCAAAGATCCATACAAAACAAATCCAAATAGAGATAACAATATAGATGGCTATAACTATTTAGATCAAGTTTGAAAAATTAAACAGAATGGAAATCTTTAAGTAAAAAGACAAGAAAAATGAAAAACATTTGAAATGGGACTTTCCAGAAGAGGACACCAACCTTAAAATGTAAAAACACTCTGGGGTGCTTGCTTGTAAGGGGTGAAATGAATCTCATCATGAGAATGACAGCAATGGCTTCTGCTATTAAAGCATTCTACCGTTCAGAAAAATACTGTTGCTTGTAAAAAGCAAGAAGAAATGATAGACCAAATTTTAAATTCCACTGTAGTCATAAAATGTTGGGCATAAAAAAAAAAAAAGAGAATGCAACAAAAATATCAGTTTTGTTGTTAGATACTATGAAAGTCAGGTCTTTTTTTTTAACCAAATATAAATTGCATCTAGACAGAACAGTTAACTTAGATGATCATATGGTGTGCCTCATGCAGCCAGAAAGAATGTCAGACACATTTACAGTTGAATTTTTTGAACTAATTATTTTTAAAAAATGTAGAGACCAAAATAAGCAAAGAAGAAAATAAACATTGCAAGTCAAACCCCGTTGTGGTTCACCCCAGTGACTCAACCTGAAGTGTCAAAAGATATTATTTCCATGGAAAGCCTGATAATTATAGGGATAATTCTAAAGTAACTTTAAATGTACCCAAGAAAAGAAATTTGCTCTAAATCAAGATGACTTTGCACAGAATAAAATAACTGCCTCGATGATGCTTACAAGGCTGTTCTTTCACATATAGTTCTATTATGTGGCAAAACTTACTTTTCCTTATTTAGAATAATGGTTCTACTAGATTTTTTAAACCAAGTTTCTCAAAAGAATTTTTAATATTAGGTACTAAAACTCCAAGATATTAAACACAAAAAAGAAAATCCACAAAATAGATTAACTTGGAAACTTAAATTGTTTAATATAATTGACGTCTAAATAAATGAACAGAAAAACAAATCAGTCTACAGAAAATCACTTAAATTATTCTGTAAATTATTCCCTACTATAGCTATAGGGAGCTGCAATCTCTGTTACATATAATTCAAGACAATATACATGTTTAAATAAAAAGGCTCCATTAATGAAATAAAAAAAATTCAACTAATGAAATAAAAAAAAGCGTTAACATACCAATTCAATTTGCAACTATATTATTTAAATTTAATAAATAAAATTGTAAGACGTATCACAGATCAAACTGACAGCAATGAAAAACAGGTCATTAATAAAGTGCATCTAGAGATATCGCATTTAAAGCCATATTTTAAAAAGTATATTCCTACACTCCATTGCCAGTGATAAAGCAGAACCCCATTGATATTAGAAGAATTTCTCAGAGTAAACAGCAGAGGAATATGGTGACGCAAAGTTGGGTTCACAATAAACTGAATCTTTTTCTTACTTAGAATCTATTAGCTAAGCAATTTACACTATTAACTTGAAAAATAAAGTAGCAAATACTTGCAGTAAAAAAATCTTGTTTAAAACCTAAAATTGTTAGGAAATATAAATGTATCACTGACACATATTTGTATATACTGCTGAAGATTATGTACTGAGCAAAATTAACACTTCAACTATGTTATCAAAATACTAAATCCTCTATCAGATAAATAATGCATTGCAGGGACTGTATATAAGTTAAGTTTCATCAGATTGTAGTGCTTGACAATATTAGCATATGCATTTGTTTTGGAAATAAGTCTACTTACAACTGAGTCTGCATCTGGACACTCCCTATTAAAAAAAAGAAAGAAAATATACAGTTATAAATTGCACAAATTATTTTATTCATACAGCTCTGGTACTTCCTTTAATATTTTCAATTAATTTGAAACATTGCATTTGACCCTTTTGCCTCTCAGACTGTTAAAATTTTCACTATAAATAATCCACATTCAACTGAGTGAGATTTAAATAAAAGCTGAAAGCTTATGCTCAAAACACCGCAGAAGAAAATCTCAAAATAAATACTGAAAAAGCAAACTCACATCATGGGGTGGGGGGCGGGAAATCAAGGAAAGCCAGGAGTACCACGCTATATTCTGGATGAATATACTTTAAGACTCAGGTCTCTGTGGTCGATGTGCACAATAAGTAGAAGTCACCAATCCTAATGAAATAGTCCATATGCAATTGCAAAACATTTTGGACAATAACCAGTCCCAAAGAAATTAAGACTATTCTTAGAGGAATTCAGAGCTTCCCTCTTCTGGAATTTCATTCTTAGTTTGTGTTTGTCAAGCACAGTTGCAGTCAAGCACTAGAAGATGCTGGAAAAAATAATAGAGTACCCTCCTAACAAGCACTTAAAAAAAAAAATCGTCAGCAGAAAGGCAGTGATTGCAAGCACATTATTCACAAGTGTTATATTTTTCCACTGTAACTTCGATTTAAGCAGTAGTATTTAAAAAAAAAAGAATGACACTGATTCTCTCTGATGTCTGCAAAAAGCAGAAGCAATTACATTTACAGAATGTGGGAATATTTGAGAGGCATACAAGTCCTCTCTAATTTGCATCCTGACAAAGCTGTAAGTGCCAGTGTAACTGAACAGCAGTGTTTTTATATAGTCAAACTGAACATCCTAAACATGCACTTATAGAAAAATGAGGGAAAAAAGTCAAATTTATTGCAATCTAAGTTATCTTCTCTGAAAGGCTAAATGTGTTAAATGTAAAAACTGCAGTGTCTTTAAAAACAGGTAAAAAACTTACTAACATGGAAGCATTAATACGAAATTCAGTACAGCTTGTTAAGGAATTGACAGTGAGATGAAGGATCCCGTCTCCTCTGAAAGGCCTCACAAAAGAAAATATATGTGACCAAGTTTCTAATTGACTTACATCTTATCTCCCTCTGCTGGCTAAACTGAATTCATAGCAATAGAAAGACCTATTTTAAAAGCTATTTTAGAGCTTGAAGAGACAAAGTATTAGACTTCTCTTAAAAGATACAACAAAAAGATTTTCTCACACGTGGTTTTAAAAAGTGTCTGTACTCAAACAAGACAGCCTGAAGTTCATAAAAGTTAAGAAATGTGAAAGATGTGAGGCAAACTACAATGAAGGTAACTCAGCCCATAATGAAGATTTTCAAAATTACTGAGCTAATAGGTCTCAAAAAGTAACGGCAGATCTAGTATCATTCAGAGGAGCACCAATAGCACCTCCCAGGATCCGTTCTCAAGATACAAAGGAAAACTCAACAGTTTGCAAATGCTGGTGAAGTGGTAAACGAGGACATCAGGTTTCAGACAGATGTGCTTTTACATCACCAGATGCGTGATCTTTCTTTTAAGATTAAAGAACTAGGTCATGCTTCTAGTATAAGGTAATATTTCAGGAAATGGTGATTCTGTGAGGAAATTTAAGGACTGCAGATAAAAACTAAAACAACCAAATCATGCAAAGCAGTGGTTAGAAAAAGAAGTGAAATCCTTGATTAACCTGTATAGCAGTATGTCATAGTACGGTATTTCCCTGTGTAAAACCATTACTAGACACAACATCCAGTTTAGGTGTCAACACTTTAAAAACTGTATTGATAAACAGAAAAACCTATAAACCATGAGTTTTTTTCTAGATGTGGAAAGCCTGCCCTACACAAACTAAACAAGCTTACAGCCTAATTTAACAAGAGATTAAGAAATGACTTGACCTCTATGTGCAGAGAAGTTTCCGATGATAGAGTTTTATCATGTACAGCCTATAACAGGATCATCAGCTGAAGATGAAATGAGACAAAATTTAGACTAGCAATAAATTTTTTTAAGAGATGATAAATAACTATTAGAATATTTTACTTAAGCACATAATGAGTCCTCTGTTGTTTATTTGTGCTGTTCTAGTTCATTTAGAAGTTATGGATCAATGCAAGAATTGCTGTAAAAGCCCATGGCATGCGTAACATCGGAGGTCAATATCATGCCATCATACTTCTTTCTTTCTGACCCCAGAATCTATTCATTTTTGTATTGTGTGTAAAAATAGAAACAAAATAATATAAATTGAAGTTCAGTCCAGCTTGTTGAAAGCAAGGCAAATTCTTTTCCCAGTTGAGAGTAGCTGAACCGATTTATATTTTCTGATGACATCATTGTGCCATGAAAAACAAATTTTTTTCTAGAAGGAGACACTGATACTATCTTTCAATGTTAAATAAAATGTCTTCAGGAAAAAACAGCTTTTAGAAAACTATTCGGATACTACAGTGGATAAGCATACAAAGGTAGAAAGTGTTTCACATAGTGTAGAAGCCCGTTTTCAGCCCTCAGTGCCTAAGAAAATCTTCTTTCTGCTACAGGTCAAAGAAAAAGATGATCTCCGAGTAAGGATACATTGAGTCATATACCTGGGAGGAGTTAACCTGGAGCTTCGAGGCCTTTACTGGCTCCAGAAAACTACTGTTAAGAGCCCTAAACCTTTGCTGGGGCCAGATTAGATTTCATCATCTGCCAAAGAATGGATGGAAGGAGATGCCTGGTTTGCAAGGAGGTTTATAACATACATTACATGAGATTAGCTTGAGTAATAACCCACATGGTGGCAAAACAATTATTTTATTGGACAAGAAAAGCTGACAGCTACAGAATTCAACATACAACAGTACTCAATACCACCAAAATCACTACTTTGCAATTAAGTAAATGCAAGACACAAAAGGCAAATGATTGAACATTCTTTTTTGCTGCTATTTGATACTGCAACAGTTTTGCATCACAAAAAAGAAGTGTAGTAAACAACTTTCCAGAGAGAATGGATTACTTTTAAAACGGGCACTAAAGCTGTTTAAAACACGAATATCGTATTTATAACAATTTAATTATTTTAAACTAAACCTTCATCAGAAAAAATAATTCTTTGTAATAAAATAGTATTCTCAGATTGCTGCTGACCAAAATCACACTATATACAACACTTCTTTCACCATTTACTCCAGCAATAAAGTACAAGGGAGAGTGTGGAGGAAAGACTAAATCACAGAAAGAACAGAAATATGGAGGAATGACTTAAAACCAATAAAAACCTTGGAGCCCTAAAGGCATCATGAAAGAGAGAAGAAAAAGCAGGGTTTAGAAGTGTATCACTATTAAAGTTAAACACCAAAAGAAAAATAGCTATAAGGCACTTTGTTTGTGCAAATAATTAGCACCTGCAGTTCTTAGGTCATTAGTTTTTCAGCATTATATTAAAAACTAAGGCTGGTAAAATATTTTTTAAAAATGATTTTAAAAAGTATGTATGCAGATGTTGCCTCTGAGAATATTTCTATATTGTTGTTTGTCAAATTTTAAGTATTTTCTGTTAAATCAAATACTTCTATTGAGAAAACACATCTAGAAATTATGAAAATAAAATATATTGAAATATAGCAATCATAACTACTAATACGTAGACTGTGACCAAACCCACCTAAGAACTTTTATTCAAACTCACTTTCTGGAGAGTTTTAACTCCTGGGAGACAGAGCACATGCAATGAATATGGCAAAAGGTATAGCTGGGACATCAGTCACCAATTAGAATGATGGTCTTTCAGAAATGAGTGTGCACATGATGTACTCAAAAAACATTCAAAGATTTTTCTGCCCTTCGATACCGTACACAAAAGTTTTTCTAATGAAAGAATAACTGAAGCTTCAATTCCGCAAACACAAGCATCCAGTACTTTTTCCATGTACAGAGCTATTATTTCATTAGGAGTACACATGAGAATCACATTATCTACAATTTTCAAATGTAGAACAAGGGAGAACTACTTACCTGTGCACAGGAAAGAATGAAACATGAGTAGACTACTACGAATACATTTATGTTATTTCCTTAAAATCCTTAGTTACAAAAATCTTAAATAGCTGTGATATTTCTGTATTCATAGCATTCCTCTAAACTTCTCTTATAAACCCTTTTTTTGTTAAACATCAGCTAATGTTTATCCCCATACTTTTACTAGTTTTCATACAAGACAAGGCTTCAAGATGGAAATATACTTACACAGATTCAGTATCTTTTTCTTTTTTCATTATTCCTGATAGACCAAAAGGCTTCCTCTTCCGTGGTTTTATCCCTATGGAACAAAGATTTTTCGTCTGAAGATCAAAGAGATAACTACGTATTTAGCAATGTCAAACACAGGTGCATGCCAATGCCAATACATTTTAAATGCTGCCACAAGTGATACAAAAATCTAACAGCGAAGATAAGTATGGAGCCAATCTAAGGGAACATTATTCCAAATTGTTATTAAGTAACATGCCAATCAAAAAATTAAAATATGGTTCAACACATTAATAACATAAGTCCTTATAAAACTGATTTGCATTGTACATCCAACTCTCCAGGTTGGGTATGCAGACTGTCACTTTTTTTAATAGAAAATGGGCGTATGGCCAGTTTTGAGGAAAGGGACTCTGCTCACAGAAACTCAACAGGAGCTATTGCTCTGGACGATCCTGAATAGCCAATGCACTTGGATCAGAAACTGAACCCTGCCTCTCCCAGCTACTGCAGTTCAACACCCTGTTGTTATTTCCCTGCATGTTCCCGGTAGCTGCAAGCCCCTGTCTCTCCTAAGAAGTAGCATCTTGGTCCTGTAAAAAAAATAGAACATCTCTTGGCTTTCCAGCTGATGCTGAGTTCATGATTTCCCAGTGCTGTAGCCAGCTTTAAGGCTGGCTCTCACTGAGTCTGGAACCATGCCTCCCCTCTGTCGTTTCTTCCCTGTTTTTAGCACTGGATATGTATAGCTACAGCACAGAAAAAAGTTTGCTTTCATACCCGTTTAATGTACTAAAATTAAAATACATTTAAATATTCATCAGACTTGCTGTCACATCTGCTTCTCTCCCAATTTTTGCTGAAGCAGACTGCCAAACAAAATGACTAAGTGCAAGCATCTGATCCAACTGGTCTACAATTTTGTTTTGATGTATGATACTACTGACAGCATGCTTTTGAGCAAAATGGTGGAAATAATTTGGTTTCCAAAATTTAACAACTGACAATTCAAGCACATCATTAAAAAAAAAAAATCATTATATTCCCCTTTACAGAAATACATTACACAGCACATAAGGAATCTCTCCACTTTTAGAAATTTTCAGGGTTAAATATCTCAAAACTTCTCAAATCAGGTAGCTGTAAACTCAGCCATATCTTTTATTTTAATAGAGACAGAATTTGCTCCAAAATGATTTTTAAATGCTAGTCTGGGCTTTATCTTCTTTCTGTGACTTATGCAGCCCAAAACAATGACAAATGGAGTATGAGAGTAGTTTCTGAACATGAACATGGTTCAGTCAAAAAACATTTTAAGTCTCAGCTGCAATCTTGGCAACTTAAAATTTGTCGGCTGCTATAGCTATACTGTCAACTCCTCTGTCCCAAAAGTAAATACATAGCTTATGCAAATAAAGCAGTTCTTAACCACTTAAAACAATCCCCTAAGCAAAATAAGTGATGCCAACAAAGAAAGGCTTTGCGACCACAACACTGCATTAGACTTGGTATAACTAACATGGTAACAATGGAAAGAGCCTGGGCCATATTTTGACGCTTGTAAATTAAGTTACAACACAGTCATAAATGAACCAAATCCAAACCTCAGCAAGGACAGGGTCATAGCCAAAGTATATTTATAGGAAACATTAAAATTCTCTGACCTTTGTGCATTAGCCTTATAAAGTATCATAGGTCTTATTTTCACTGAGATTTGCTTCTCAAAAGGAAATCTGCTTTTTAGTCTACTGGAGTACTTTAAAGTTATACAGATTCACACACTGAATACCCTTCACTTCACAGTTTCAGGTCCTTATCCACAGCATTCTTACGTAAATAACTATGCTACAACAACTCACCTTCAACTGCACTGGATGTGTTACATTCTTCAAATTCAATAAGGCCTTAAAGAAATGACAATGAAGATAAACATTGGGTCAAATTTAATCTAAGATATTTTAACTACTATTAATATTTCCTGAAAATACTAGATAATCTAATTACAAACACAGTTAAGTGCTGTATCTAAATAAGTTCATTATTATGGCTTTCCATTAGAGTTGATACAAAGTAACAGTCAATTGTCATTGCAAAGTGAAGTCCTAACTCTCATTCCTTCAATCTGGCCAGGTCTAGAATTTATTTAACCCCACTATGAGCCATTTTAGGGAGCAAATGTGCAGAAAACAAAGTGATTTTCCATAGGACCTTTTTCAGGGAATGGCAGAATCACACCAGCACTTGTGCAAGTGCAAAGAAAACAGAGAGCACATGCAGGCAGGCACCATTGCTTTCAGGCCATACTAAGAATGAGCCCTTTGTCCCCTGTTTGAAACGGTAGCTTGCAATTGTATCCACAGAAGCAAAACCAAAGTTTAATATGCTAGCACTGTAACACAGGGGTTGTTATTTATCTTTCTGTAATAATTTTGAGGGAGTGCACACAAGTTTATATATAGGCATATTACAGATAAGATAGAGGGGAAAAAAACCCTGTTCCGAATTCTATACTCAAAGGCAGCCAAAATGCCCCCCACCCGCCCTGCAACTATTTCAAGTGAGAGTTTAAAATCTTGAAAATTTCATTTAAAACCAACTGGAAGCAAAGTGATTGTGGAAACCTCAAATACAGAAACTACTTCCACTCCTGCCCCAAAACACACCTGCTAGTAAGTGTGCTGATTTATTTATCTTAATTACAAAGTTATGATTATTTGTGAGCATCCACCATAAAACCAAGAGCTGTGCAATTGTCAAGGTGTTTTCACACAAAATAAAATAAAAGGCGTACTTGAAAGCATTTTCTAGGATTTTCACTTGTGCTCTTTTCAAAATGAACATCTTAAAATAAATAGCTCGTATAAACAGATCTCAAATACAAGAAACATGGAGACTACAAGCTTCAGTTTGATTTTAAATAGTTTTTTTTAAATAATTTTTTGCACCATAGCAAATAATTGTGCTGCAATTGCAGATGCCACAATGAAAGTAAAAAATAATTTAGCTGTGAATTAGCATTGTAAATTACACAACTGGGATTAATTTGTATTTGATTCATGCAGTTAAGTACCTCAAATAGTTCTATTTGTAAGGTAACCCCCAGTATGTATATTTAACTCTTGCAGTGCAAAATTGTGTTCAACTCAGTATAAACGCTACATTTTGATAGCATTTCTCAAAACTGCAAATGAAAAAAAATTATGCTTATGTCAAACAAATAGAAAGACAATTGAGAAGCTGATGATGTAACTCAATACTCAACAATGTTAAGCAAATGGAATTATTTTAGAAATATTAGATAAAATCTACCATTTTCTTTGAAATTTTGCAGACTAATGATTTTTTTTAAAAAAAGGTGTGTTCAAAGTAATGACTTGTATTTATTGTAATTAAGACTGAGCCTTCAAAATCTTCCCTGCCAATAAAAAAAGATCTGTGTGCTTGTAAAACTAGCAGCAGGATGAGAATCTGGGACTAGAACCCATAAATATCCCATTTATCATACTGTAATTGTTTGGCCTCCAAATGAAGCTCTGGAGAGCAGAATAGCAAAAGACCAATCTCAAATGGCAGTCTTAAGTGCCCTTTAAGTTTCAATTATTAAATAATTTCAAACGCAAGTCTAATTATTCAATATGACAAGACAAAATCCAAATTCCTAACAGCGCGCTCATTCTACTAAATATTGTAAATACATGAGCATTTTAAGCTGGTCTTCCAATCCCTTCTCCTTTGCTCTCCACTAAATTCACAGTAAAGCAACGTCAGCATGCTCCACAAATCAGCAAATCTGGGTATCTCGCAAAACAAAAACCAGCAAAAAAATCCAGAAAAACAGATTTAGAGAACTGTAGATGTCTACATCCCCACACTGATTTCATCAACATTTTATTTTAGGAAATTAAACTCTATTGTTCAAAATCTATTGAGCAAGAAATTCAGAAAAATACCATAAAACATAGAAGCTGAAGAACAAATCCGTTACTTCTTCAGCACTACACTTCAGACAATACATTTTTTCATCACTTTGTGAAGGATTCAACTACTTCTGTTTCTTGCTTCTATACATATTCCCACTTGGCCAGGAAAAAAAAAACAAAAGCCAAACCAACCACAAACACTCATCCCCAAAACAAAAACAGAAGGAAAAAACCATAAACAGAGACTTAAATATATTTTTAGAGAAAAACAATACTCAAGCTTTTTCAGAATATCATCTTTTTCTTTACTCTTTCCAGCTACTAAGACTGATCCCCAGACTTTTAAGACTTTTACACTAATGATTAAAATAAACATTCAAGGCTCAAGTAAAACACATCCTTATTTCAGACCAGTATCTTTAACTTTCACTTCTAACACAAGCAGAAAGCAAAGATTTTCTTCAACAAAACATCCAAGTTCCTGTATTTTGTCCATTACACTTGCCTAACACTTGTTTTCGAAGGTGGGTTTTTTACAGCTTGATAAACTTTCTTTTCTCATAGGGAAGACTATAAACCGCAATCTGAAAAAATCTCAGTTACAGAAGAATTGCCTGAGATAGTAATGAGATGGAAGCTGTGCAAAAAACTTTAGTAAGCAGGTCCCACTTTTCACTAAGGTCTATGAAGTTAACTTGGAAATTTTAAATATACTTTCTTCTTAGCTTATTTTATGCTTCACCAAAATCGGCAGTTATAGAAGTCCCTTCTCCCCACATGTGCTCTCTTTCCTTCCCCTGCATCTACCAGCTGCTTTACTGCAGGAAAGATAAATAACAATCATGAAAACAGCATCTTCTTACAACAAATTGAGTGAATCAGTTACAATTCAAAAGCATCTTTTGATCCTAACTTACTTTTCCTACTTAACTCAAATTTCTATAGCGCCCTTCATCCTTTGGAATCTCAGAAGTTCAAGACGCCAGTGGCTGTCCCTAATGAATCCACAAACATTACAAAATTAAGTTCAGCATTTTCCTCCAATGCCCAAAGATGTTTTCTGGTTTTGTAAAACTTTTATTTAACCCGCCCCCACCAATATAACACATGTTGCATCATTTGCTTGCAGCAAAGGCAAATTCATACATTTTGCCCTTTTGAGCAGAGTAGAGTGAAATTTGTAGCAGTTTTTAATTTTCTTAGAGTTTTGTTCTGTAATTTCAGATCTCCCAACGGTTCTGCTTCCTATATGCCTGCTGTAAAGAGTACCATGTTTTGCCTGGGGAGTAGTATTTTTAAACCAAAATGACATTACAGAAATAGACATTTTCTGTGGTGCTCTATGGTGAATCAATTTAGGAAACAGGATAGCTGTGATGAGCTTTTGGTAGCCCACGTAACAGCTGGAGTCTCCTGTGGGCAGATGTCTTTGTGCCCAAAGAGGTAATAATACTGTAGCCCAGCCAGAAGTGGGTACTGTGACCACGTCGTCTCCTGCTAGAACCAGCTGCAGTCTCCTAGCCAGCCAAAAGCATATTGCTATGGGAGCATAGCATCAATAAGGAATTCAGATGCTTTCTTAAGAAGTTCCCTTGCATTGTCCACTGTACTTGTGTATATGGAAACAAAACCATCTGCATGATCACTGCAAAAAAATCCTCAAAAAGCTTTCTTCTCTGAACCACCATAACATCTATCTTTCTCATTCTTGAATCCTTAATCATTAGATGGTATAGTCAAAAACTCCCAGTGGGTTGGCGTTACTGGAGATTGCCAGACACACATAATACATAGATGCAAGTCAAAGCATGCAAACTCATGTGCTGGTATCACAATAACTTTTGTAACAGCTACACAAAGATTTTAACGTGGATGCACTACCTCTTCTCTATGAGGCAGAAAAGTTTTCTTAACAGACTTGTGCCCAATGATTGAAGTGTAGACAAAGGCTTAACACCAACAAGGATTTCAGCTCAAAATCTGGAAGATAATAACGGCCAAAATTTCTGAAGCAAGTACACAGATTCACTGTCCGTTGCAACATCCAAAGAAAGAAAAGCAGTTGTTCCACATTTAAGAAGTACTGCTGCTGCTGGGGACTGAAGTCACTCCCTGAAGCAGACTCTAAAGCACCTGCACCACATGGTAGCCCAAAGCACTGAAAAGGACCATATAGATGTTGCCAATACTGCAATAACGATGCAGCAACAATGGTAGCAACAATGGTAGCAACAATGGTAGCAACAATGGTAGCAACAATGGTAGCAACAATGGTAGCAACAATGGTAGCAACAATGGTAGCAACAATGGTAGCAACAATGGTAGCAACAATGGTAGCAACAATGGTGATAATGATATTCTGCAGTACTAGAGTCAAAGCATTGAGATCTCCTGTGTTCTTTTTCTCATAACAAGACAAGACAACAATGTGAATTGAGAAGGAAGCCTATTCACAAGCATTCGTATGAACACAAAATAAGAGCATATACTAGAACTACAGCAGCACTGTAAACATCAAAACCACATTTTAAGACACTTACCAGAGTAACTAAAAAGCTATAGCTGAGACCTAGTCCAACCCTTGCAAAAGTCTCTGAATTAATGTTCTGTTGGGTTAAGCATGGATAGTTTCAGGCTCAAGATAACTTTTTTACAGTCTGGTCTGCCTGTTGTTGCATTGATCTACAGAATGGTAACTATGGCTTAAGCATCTCAAATACGTGTACATAGACTGGAAAGTATTTGTTACTGTACACACACAGAACAGAAAAAAAAAAATACAGTGCATAAATGAAGGTTAGCCTTTGTAACAGAAAGAGATATGAGTATCTAGTGGGATTTCAGTCACTTAAGGATACATACCTAGCTATCAGGATGATAATGAGAATTTAGTATTCTACAAAGGAAGTAGGTGTCAAAAATCAGTAAGCTCCTCTAATTGTATGTAAACATTCCCACCAAGCATCGTCCTAAAGCACTTTCCT